TTTTCAAGCTTTCAACTCTACGTGACGACGAATATAATATGACAATGTTTGATAGAGGTACATGTAACTTAATCAAAAGCCCCAGAATTTCTTGAGCTCTGTTTTAAGTATCCAGAATGTCATTTGTTGCCACATAGAGTGTAAAAACGTGAAAAAGAAATAAGGTTTCACAACAGAATGAAATCAAAATTAAGAACAGCACAACCCCCCCCCCCCCCCCCCAAAAAAAAGATAAAAAATACAGGCGTGTGTCCACCAACTTAAGATTGGCTGTTTTAACCCTAAACGTCCCCCCCCCCCCCAAATAGACCCAACTCTTCGTGGTTGGGGGGTGGGGATTAGTACTCTTCGAATAGGAAAAGAAAAAGAGGAAGCTAACGGGTCACGGGTGACCCCGAAAAGAGACATACTTTACTACAGTGGAAACCATATATATAACAGGCCCGGTTATAACAGGGATCCGGTAATAACAGGGATTTTTAAAATCCCCCTTTTTTCCTTCTCTTTGTCTCTATTAAAAAGTTATCGGCAATAACAGGGCCTCATCGGAGCCCAACCGGTTATAGCAGGGACAAAGGCTCGTTAACAATGTGTAAAAAGTAAGAGAGAGAGTAACGCAGTGATGGAGCAAGCCCACGCAAGCCATGCCACTGCAAGCACACGCGGTGTGTGAAGCGAGAGAGGGCTGCGGTGTGCTGCAGACCTCGATCTAGCCCGAAACCTAGCAACACACACGTGTAATGTGTCACCAACAATGTCAAGCGCAAAAGAAAATGCCTTTCAATTGACAAAATATACGAAATAATCCAGGCTGTTGACAAAAAGCAAGCTCCACTGGCAGAGATTTGTCGTCAGTTCGACATTCCACAAGGGTCGATTCACACCATTATCAAGGATAGAGAGAAAATAGTGGCAGCATACTCCAATGGAAAGTTTGCTCTGGATCGAAAGAAGACGAGACTGCCCGATGCAGATACTGTGAACCAAGCTCTTCTGATGTGGTTTAAGGAGGCAAGGAGAAAGTTTGTGTCAAAACCTC